TGAATGTTAGTCCTTGAATGACGTACAAAGGGATCAAAGTGCTGCAAAGCCCCACAGTTCAAGACGTGTTGGGTTTGCTCATCATTACCTGTTACAACATTGCCAATAGCACGAAGTGACGGAGACTATAAAAATGTAAAAAATCATCAATTATAAAAAACATTGACGCTCCAGGATTTCAGTCAATATTGATTACAATTTATAAAAAATGCAATTTCCAGCAATGAGTTATTAATATCAACTACAAAAACACCGACGATACATTCTGATATTGTTTAGGAAAAAATCTGAATTAATACGAAATGCAAATATTTTGGACTTATTTTAGTTGCCTATCTAATCAAACTTACTGCTAAACTAGTCTCCCCACATCCAGTCAGCTCAACCAAGCGTGGCACAACCCCACTGTTAACTACAGTCTGTATACGCTCAGTTGATCCGTCAGTAACATACGACAGAGCCCAACAAGCATCACTAACAACCTAAAACATCAATTAATACCTTAAGGTTACTTTTAAATACAGGTACTATTAATTGCGAATTTTGCATTTGGGTTAAAAATCGCAATTATTAATACGCGCAATTATTAATAATGACATCATGATGCCATATAACTATTAGTAATAATTACTTAATCACTATTTTTAATACCAGCAAAATCTACCTCATGCTAAAATCACAAAATTTAGTACCCGCAATTAAAAGTCACTCTAAGGTACACAAAAATTATCAATGAATAACGTTACATGTACCTCTTTATCCTGATGATTGATCAACTGTGTCAAAATTGGTAATAACTACATGTAAATGAGAAAGAACAATAGACTAGTAAATACAGTATAGTAATAGAGGATATGCGTGCTAAGTATATTCATAGCTTTTAAGTACCGTATATCCAACCCACACAGTAAATTGGCCGCCATGTTGGACGTCAAGTTTATTAAGAGTTCAATGGGGGAAAACACAATTTCTTGCCTTGCTACCTTCTTGAGGCCTTTTTCGGAAACTTAGAAAGCATCCTGAGGATCTAATGGGGTCTAGTAGTCACCTGAAAGATTGCTATCAAGAAATACAGAGCGGTTTTCTGGTACCAAGCCTTTTTCTACCTTTTCTCCATTGCTGCCAATGGAAAGTTGACGTCCAACGAACTAATTTTTTTTCTTGAAAGTTATTACGGTATGCAATGAATACATTTATTTTGCAATGAATATACTTAGCACGCATATCCTCTATACTGAATGTATACTAGACATATTAGTAAATACATGTACAATACGAAGTCATGTATGATAATAATAATAATATACAAATGTACTTG